AATTCTAATAAATGTGATATAATTCCCCAAAAATACTCCTCCGTAACATTATTAGATTATATATTAGTTAATAAGTTAAATAAATTAATTTTAAAAAAAATATAAGAAATAAAATGCATTAAAGTTTTACATCTATGACTAAAACTAAACTTCCTAACAAACTTTTACACTGAGGATCTGAGAAGTATACAAGGCCATGCTTTTACCCCTATATATATATTTTCCCTTGATTTTACTGAGTTATAAATATGTCAATTTTCTCAGCTCGATATATTTAACTCATGATTTACGTCAACCCATCAACTTAATGAATTTGATATATGCGTCGTACATATGCATGTGCATGCATGCATGCATGCACAATTATCAGAAAAGAGGTCAGTTGATGATGCATGCATATATGCATTTGCATGAAAATGCCAATATGTGTGTGTGTGTGTGTGTGTGTGTGTGTGACTTGATATATATGGATATGGTTGTGGAATCATACGTGAGGATGCAACATAAGTGGCCCTTAGCTTCAGCATAGAGCCGTTTGATTGTGGGACACTAATACCTTAAAACGTACTGTTTGAAGGAACCCTACAACAATAGAAATAGCACACACACACACACACACACACACTTACTTTTGCAACTTCTTCTTCTCTTCTTCCTCTGATGTTCTCGTTTCTGCAGGTCAAGTTGCTATCATCAAACGTGGCGCCATGTGAAAGTAAACAACCTTACAGCACCACGCACACAAGAGAATATAAAAGTGCTCATAGTATTGCAAAACCCAAGATTCCCTAATGACAGCAGCCACACAACTATACACAGGTCGGAAAGAAATTTTAATTAAAGGCAACTAGCTTTTTTGATTTTGTTCACTGCATTTTTTTTTCCAGACTGTTCCTGATGATGATATGTAAATCTTATTTGGTTCTTTACCATATCCCATTAATTGGACCTTTCTCATCAATTTGATCACCAACAAGATCATCGCCTTCTTTTTCGTGTGATTTGTGCATATCATCAACAGGTCTACAAATAACTCTAAAATTCCATTGGCCAATAAAGAAAATAACTACTGGTATTTGCTACTGTACTCAACAGTACAGTCAATCGTATTTTTCGCAAGTCAATGACAGGTTAATAGTATTTCCAACATCGTAATGACAAGTCTTATCTCACTATAAATGAGGCTATACGAGTAGCTTGATAATACTAAATAAATAAAAAATGTATTTCAGCAGATAATAAATGTACTGTTCAGTTAACATACGTACCAAAAAGCTTTTAATCACATTTCTCTTTCTGGAATTGGATGCGAATCTTTGATAGAGGTCCCAATTGGATAAATTCAACTTTTCTTCCACGTAGCAGATGCTTCTGTTAAAGGTAGAAGCCAGAAACTCCCAACATAGAATTTCTTTTCTTTTTTATTTCTTCTTCTTCTTCTTTTTTTTTTAAAGAAAAAATGGTACGCATATAATCACCACATATTCATATATAACCTCTCAAAAAATTACCATAATGAAATAAATTTAGCTAAATGGGTTCATTATCAACCAACTCATTCCTATCCAAAATTTTCTCGTCAAACAGGGCTTTCAATCATCTCCAAGCTTGGAAACAAGTTATTAACACTGTAAAATCACTTGAGTGTTAAATACAAGTTGATGAGAAATATGACACATTTAAGTAAGTCTCATTTAGGTCTCATCTCTTTTGTCTGATAAAGTATTTTATATGATCCAAAAGTCATGACCTTGGCTAAAGCAGAAAATGAAAAATCAAATGCAGTAGCAAAAGTATTTGCTAATAAGAGACTTGGCTCAGTTCACAAAGTAGAAGTTCTATTTTGTTCATGATGGAGCCAACTCTTACTAGAACTTCGTCTTGAGGCCTCTGTTTTCTACGATTTTTCCCATTCTTCAAACAGCAAAAAAAAAGTAACCACTAAGAAGGGATATGCATATAAAAATAACTCAGCCGTACCAAGGACGCCCTGGTGTTTCCGTATGCACATTAGATTCGTTGTTGTGAAGGAACTTGTTGATCAATCACTTTCAAATAAATGATAAAAAGAGAAATTTAGAAACAGGCAAATATATTATCTAATCGAACATTCCTTCTTTGCCCCACCACCCCATATCATTTTCTTTGCCAATTAGCTTGCTCAGCCATGCCTATCCGATCCTCTCCCAAACACCACTATATATACCTGAAGAGCTTCCCTCCTCCTCATCTCATCCCACACCAATTCCTACTTCAAGATCTGCATTGAACCCATTTGGCGATATATTCTTCTGGTTAGGCTACATTTGAAAATTTCTTAGAGCATCTTGTGTTTAGTACTGTAAGTCAGAAATGGACAGGGTGACAAAGTTGGCATCAGAGAGGCCTGTGGTGATCTTCAGCAAGAGCTCCTGCTGCATGTGTCACACCATCAAGACCCTCTTCAGTGACTTTGGGGTGAACCCAATGGTTCATGAGCTTGATGAGATGGCTCGAGGGAAGGAAATTGAGCAAGCCCTTGTGAACCTTGGGTGCAGCCCATCGGTGCCAGCTGTGTTCATAAGTGGCGAGCTCGTGGGAGGAGCCAATGAAGTCATGAGCCTTCACCTTAACCGCTCCTTGATCCCAATGCTCAAAAGAGCAGGAGCTCTTTGGGTATGAGACAGTACTACTGAGTACCGCCCTTATCGTATCAGGCAATAAAAGTCCTGTTTTGGTCACAATAACTATATATGAGATTATAATGTAGGCATCGGATATAGAGTGATATATATCCATATTAGTGCATAGCTTATGTTGCTAAAGTTTTGCAATAAGCTGAAGGCTAACGTGATCGACTGAGGTGTAGTTTAGCCTTTTTTTTTTGGGTATTTTAATGTAGCTTTGCGGCCTTGTGTAGTTTTTAACAGTGTGCTTTTGGTATCATGTCAGTTGTGGTTTATCAGCATTTATCTTCTCTAACGTGCAGAGTTAAAAACCAGGCATAGATAAAAAGAAGTCAGGTTTCGTACATTAACGATCTAAAACACAAAAGAAACTAGATACGCAGGAAGCTGGGGGGGGGGGGGAAAAAATTCTTAAGTACATTAACCAGCTAAATAACAAAAGAAAATATGCAGGAAACCGGGAAAAGAAGAATTCTTAAGTAAATTCAGTCTATTAAAAAAAATATCAAACAAAGTATACATAACGTGTGAGTATCTCAGGCAGACTTTTATATTTGTGGATGCTCTGTTTGAATTATTTTCCCTTAATAGACTGAATTTACTTGAGATTCTCTCCAACACGAAAAGTGAAATTACCACTAGCCATTTAAGATTATACCCACTACCCAAGATGAGATAAAATAATCTGTTTTAATCCTCTGTCCTTCAACTCCATATATAGCTGGGGTTTTGTTAGTTTGCAACCTTCTAAAACTATCTAAACGAAGTGGCTTATTATTATAATCTAGAAATAGCAACAAATATCACTATAGGACACAAAGCATATCTTGTTCTTCCACTTGGTTTAAGCAGGACAAAGGCATCAAATGCAATAAGCATGCAGGTAGGCGTGCAAGTGACACATGCAACCATTTTAATTCCTCAGTCACATCAACAAATAGACAGGAAAATGAAAGACAAAAAATAATAAAAAAAAAACTGAAGGAGAACTCAAAAATAGACAAAAGTTGGGTGGCGCACAGAGGAAAGTGTAGTTTAGGAATGAGCATGATAAGACGACAAGTATATTTTTTTCACTTGTAAGTTCTACAACACTCTGTTTTTCCTGAACTGTCCTTGTTCTGATGAATTCAATTTCCAATGAGTTACCCCCACATATCTTCAGTCAAAGAAGAAAAGAAGGCAACAAATATATACGGACACAAACAGATACACGGGCAAAGAGAAGCAAGGCAAGAGCAATATCTCCACATTAAATTATGTGGCTCAGTTTGCTTTGATATAACTCCAAGGTAAACAGTTTCCATCATTTACCCTAGGAAAATTGTCTTTCCCACTTTAATTTTGAAATGAGTTGAACTGTTGAAGATAAGACAAATGGAAATGACTTACATGCAAGCAGCAGTAATCTTATAGATAAAGGCAACACGAAATGGTAGGTTAATAAGTTTTACCTTGACTTGGCCACCATGATTGCTCGCATATATATCAACTACTGCTTTTTGGAGCCTTTTCACTTTCCAAGATATAGTGGCACTACTTTCATTTCCTATCGAGCATTGAGAACCTCCTAAAAATCAGAGTGCCTCGCAAGGTTGAATCATGCCTGTGAATTGAATCAATGATAGCAGCAAAGTCGACATTTTCTTCTTCTTGTCTTAACACAGACCGTTATGTTAAAAATGCCGTGCAGCTGAGTGCTTTTTCATTAAAGAAATGAAATGACGCACGAAAAAAGGTTGAATGTCAATTATAAGCTTCCACTTTGCCAATGTCAGCAATTAGTTTTCTGAAAGCAGAAACGAGGAACACGGGACCATTGTTCCAAAAATAGCAAAATTCACAAACTAGTTGGCCTTTCAAGACTAAATTAACCTGAAATAGTCTAAATATCTAAACCACGGATTTCATTGTACAACACACTGCATGACTACCATCAGTTTAATTACTCAGATTGCATAAATTCAATCAAATTGGTAAAGAAGTAAATGAAAATTGAAGCCTGCTTGAACTGTCTTCTCGGCCTGAATGATATTTCTTTCTAATTTCCTCCATCATATGTTCAACAAAGTTACAGAATCTCTAGTTTCTTCCATTTTTCTTTAAAATTTTTTGGTGAAAACAGAATGTCTGGTTTCATTCACAAGTATCAATGCTAATCAAATTATACATTAACAATTTATCTTCAGAAAACTTCAATCAGACGACTACTCGTTCTTTTATTTTTATGAGACTGATAATCATATACCAATTTTCATCCATCTCTACCCAAATTGTTTACCTTGTTCAGTTTCATTAATGCTAGAGCATTTTATCTTTGACAACTTCAGCACTACAGATTATGCATGATATATCTAAATGCTTCAGTTTTGGGACACACTGGGAAAAAAAGAACTTTGATGGCTACACAAAGCTTCCTCAGACACAAAACCTATGTCATTTTTTCATCTTCATTCTCAAGTAAGTTGATGTAAGACGTCAACTTTAAGTGATGGATGATGGTAGAAGCCACTGAAGCATCAAGTTATTGTCATACATATGACTCCAGACATTTTTCCTCTTCCGGTCATGGTGGAGCCAAATTAAATCCAACTACATCCAGGTATTTTCTTGAGTTTCTCTCCAACCAAACCCATTCTCAACCTCTCGGCATCATCCCATTTACCAACAGAAGCATATATACTAGAAAGAAGAGAGCAATAACCACTGGTATCACTCTCCAACTTAAGGCAGTGCTGAACAGAAATTTCCGCCAATTCCACATTGTTGTGTAATGTGCAACCAAGAAGTAGAGCTCCCCAAAGTCCAGAATTTGGTCGCATCGGCATATTGATTATAAGCTTATATGCTTCATCCAACCTTCCCGCCCTCCCTAAAAGATCAACCATGATTCCATAATGATCAACTGAAGGCACAAGTCCATAATCTTTCATGGATTTGAAGCAGCGGTATCCTTCTTCAACCAGTCCCGCATGATTGTATGCTGTCAAGAGCCCCGTGTAGGTAACTAAATTCGGGCAAATACACTCTGCAAGCATCTGTTCATATAACCTTATTGCATCAAATGGCCTACCATTTATTCCAAACCCATGTATCATTGCAGAATATGCAACCAAATCCCTCTTTCTCAGACCATTAAATAGCTCATACGCATTGTCAATGCTTCCAAACTTGGCATACATATCAATTAAAACAGTAGCCAAATGATCATCCAGAACAATTCCAAAGTCACTCATGCTTGACTCAATCCAGGGCCAGTATGTTATATCTCCTAACTGTGAACAAGCTGATATAATACTTGTCAAAGTCATCTCATCAGGATGTATATTGACGTCTGGTTTAAGCATGTCGTTTAATAGAGCAAGGGCCTCCTTTGGCTTGCTATTCTGAGCATAGCAAGCTATCATAGCATTAAATGAAAGCAAGTCTTTGTCATCCATCTGGTCGAAAAGCTTTCGAGCAGACTCAGTATCCCCTGTCCTTGAGTACCCCGAAATCATTGTCATCCAAGAAACACTGTTTCTAACTGGCATTGCATCAAAAAATTCTCTCGCAGATATTATGCTCCCGGAATCAATGTAACCACTGATCATTGTATTCCAAGAAGCCAAGTTTTTCTCCGGCATTTGTTGAAATAAGGAACAAGCCTGGTCCATATTTCCTGATTTTGCATACCCTGAGATCATAGAGTTCCAAGATACGACATCTTTCCTAGGAATCTCATCAAAAAACAAGCGAGCCACAGCCAAGTTACCATCTTTCAGATACCCAGATAACATAGAATTCCAAGAAACCACGTTTTTCTGGGACATCTCATCAAACACCTTACGTGCAGTCTCTGTGTCACCCACTTTCGAGTATAAATCGAGAAGGGCCGTTTGGACGTAAACACAACTAGGGAATCCATACACCTGAACTTGTCCATGAATTGATATACCACCAAGTTTATACTCAAGCCTGGCACATGACTTCAAAGCAGAGGATATCGCATATGAATTTGGAGACAGTCCAATTCTCTGCATTTGAACGTACAGAGAAATTGCTTCAGTGAACTGGCCCTTCTGAGAGAAGAACCGAATGGTACAGCCCCATGAAAAGGAATCTGGATTGCGTGAATGTTGAACAATTGACTGCACATACATAGCTATAGTTTTATAGTTCTTGACATCCCAGAGAAGAATGTGATGGACTAAAACAGGTTCTAGATGATCTAGACCATTAAGCAGGATATGGGCGTGGATTTGTTTAGCCTGCTTCAGAGTTGAAGAACTCTTTAGCAAGGCTATCAATTTAGGAACTAACATGAAGCACGTTTAACGGACTTGAACCATTTGCAGTGGCAGTTATATCAAGTTCATACCTTTGGAAATGGCTCTGCAACTTTATCAGTTAATAAAACTGGCGAACTCCTTTTTGCGGATCACCTAACTAAAATAGCAGTACTTTTTTATTATAGATTAATATTAACACTCATTTTGTTTTGTCCATAGCCGCAGGGAGTAGTTAGATTTGGATCAGTATGGTAAAAAGAACGTTCCATCGGACATTAGTGAGGATAAATTTAATCTGAAGTTTTGTTAGATTTGTGACAGTCCTTGACTTTATTAAAATGCATAGTTAAATCTTTTTTTTTTAAATGAAGAATTGTTAGTATATTCTTAACACAAAAATTAATTACGGTTTGTTTTTATTCTAAGTATAAAATTTCAATTCACTTTATGTTATAACCTTATGATTCCTTCCCCCCAAAAAAAGAATTTTCATTAATAAGGATATTTTTCAATGTAAATGATCCAGTAGAATATTTTAAAAAAATCAGCACACACATATATATCACAAATAATTAATTTAATTATTTTTTAATTTTGTTACCTAGCTCATGTATTTAGAATAGGAAAAATCATTTTGGAAGTACCTATACTTTTTTTTAAAATAATTTTCAATTAGGTATCTATGTGTTTTCCCCCCTTCTTAATTAAATCTTTAATTTACTCTATTACCATTGTTAACCCTTGTATAGAGACTAAAAATACTAATAGAATAAAATTATATGAGCTAATGTTGCTAAAAAAAGTAAAATTAAATAATTTAATTGAGAGGAAAGAAAACAAAGGTATCAAATTAAAAATCAAAAGAAAATACAGGTAGATAGGATAGAAGGGAGCAGTACATACATTTGTTTACTAATATGTATTACTCCTCCGGTCCTTAATATAGGACCCAATTGTTAAGTTGGTTTTGGTCCTAAATATAAGACCCATTTATCATATTTATAAATTTTTTCTAAATTACTCCAATGGATACTCTTTCAACCATAATCAGATAGAAGAGGAAGATAGGGTATTAAGAAAGATAATTATAGTATTTTAGAAAAAAAGTGTCACATTTCTTATAATTAATCAAGTTACCTAACTTCCTTAATCTAATCAAATTAGTTAAATGGGTCATATATTAAGGATGGAGGAGTATATTAATTTTTCTATGAGTATAGCAAGTTCCAAAATGTTGGCAAAAGAAAAAAAAAATCCAAGGAAAACATGATTGACTCGATAAAGTAAATGATCTGATTTGAAAGTTTTGGGGGTATGATAAAAATTATGAATTTGACATGGCTAATATGGTGGGCCTATTTGGTTTTGTCACATTATAACATTTATAAATATTGTCATGTTCTAAACACAATTTAGCAAATAAGGTCAAAAGAACACAATTCAACATAAAGACCAAAAGCCAACATCTTTAATCATTGCTTCACTTCTTCTTTTTTATTATTTAAAAAAAAGTGAAAGAAAGCTCTAATTATATGAAAACTTGCATTGCATCATGTTGCCCGTTTTTGCAAGGATAAATCTTTTACTACAAGGAGTGATGCTGTGAGGAAACAAATCACAATTTCAATGGGTGAGAAATGTGAGTAACAAAGTCAACATGTGTGATATTTATGTCTTATTCCAAATTTTAATGAATAATTATGACTTAATTTCAATAATATATTATTAGAAATAGTTCAAATCTAAAACGGTATGACATTAAATAGAAGATAAAATTAAAAAATAATTATTAAATCATACTCCTCTAATCCTATTTATAGAGTAGGGAGAAAAAATTTTTATCTTATTTATAAGTCACTTCATTAAATTTTCAATGTGAATATACTATTTTATCATTTGAGGTAGTTATTTTTTTAAAAAATACATATATTAAATATATATAATTAAAAAATTATTATATTTTAATAAAAATTTAATATATTTTAAATTTTTTTTAATACGTATGAAATATTAGTATGCTATAAGTGCGGACCAGAAGAGTATATAGATTTTGGTTTTGCTTGTCTGCTTGTTTTATTTACTGGAGCAATAATTGGAAAGGGGTAATAATAATATTAGGAACAATAATTAAAAAGAATCGGAAAACACGTGGGGCAAGGATCGGATCGACCTTTTGGGGCTATCACCCAAGTCCCGAGAGAGGGGGGCCCACAGGACGCCCCCAATAAATAGTAAGTGGGCCCCAGTCACCCTGAACCTTACCTCTTTCTGCTACTTGAAAGCTTACAGACACACTATTCAACGAAGTTCATCACACTTCACCTCTGGCTCTGCGCACAACAGTGGAGAGACCAAACGGTCCTTTTCTTCTCCGCCATCTATTTCTGGTTCTACGCATCCGCACTCTGGAATCAGTGGATCACCCAAAACCAAGAGTACTTCCCAACCCAAATCATCATCATCCTGCTCCTTCCACAATCCACATTATAGTCCAGAGAAAAGCCAATATTACAGTATATATATTAGATACACACGAGCCAATCGCTCTTTTCCCAAACAACTTTTGTGGGCGAGGTGAGCTTTTTAGCAGTCACTGAAACTTTTTTTTTTTTTAATCTTTTCCTGCTTTTTTTGACTTTGAGATTGCTAATCATTGTACCTCTTTTCCGGGGAATTGGAAAGAGTTTGTCTGGGTAGCTCTTCCCTAGAAGAAGGCTTTCTGGGCAATGTGGCTTCTCTGTTAGCGCTGGCTAGGGTTCATCTATTTTGGGTTATTTTCTGTTATCTTAGTCTTTATGTGATTTCTGCTTCAGGAGGTCTGGTTTTGAAGCTGGAAGAAAATGTTTGGATTCTCTCGCCGTCGTGTGAAGCATGCAAGGTGAAGCTTTTTTGTATTGACTTTGAACTCTTGAAGTGATTAGTTGATTTTAATTGCATAAATTGAAAATTTGAATCTCATAATTGTTCTGCCTTAGGTTGAAGGCCCAGCTTTCGGACAACACCCAGGGAACTAGGAGCCCCATAAGGCAGCCCAGAAAAAATGGCAAGTCCGGTTCTAATGTAAGCCTTCTCAGCAACAAATTTTAATGTAGACATTTTCTTTTTAACTAAATTTGGATAAGCGTGTGATTCATGTTCGTTCTTTTCAATCCAAACATACCCTGTAGAGTGTTTGGGTATTAAAATTTTTCCCTCCTTCCCATTTTACATTCACCTCAAATCAATTACACAGTTAGCTGTCCACTGAGTTTTTGAGTCTCCTTTTTAGGGTGATGGAGTAGTTTCAGGCACAAATGACCATTCTGACGAACTTGATTGTCAGTGTTCTTCATCTTCTGCGCCTGAGATAAGTACTTCTACGACATTGGGCAGCTCAGAGAACTGGATGGTGTTGTCAATTACAGGAGACAAGCCCGCTCCTAGATCCGATGTAGATAGTTTAACATTTTTCTTTCATTTTATATCTGTTCCTAGAGTTGTTGTGCTGGCACATCTATACTGGCAAAAGTCTCAACTTCTTTTCATTGTGAACAGCATGCAGCAACTGTTGTTGGGAATAAAATGATAATGGTTGGTGGCGAATCTGGGAATGGGCTGTTAGATGATGTGCAGGTTAGAGAGCATTTATTGTTTTATATGAGTGGGATGTTGTTGCTTTGAAGATAAGCAGCTCCGTCAATATCATCTAATTCTGTGGTCCTTGCCTCCTTCGTTTCTCCAACAAAATATGAGCCGGTTACTCCTCTTTTACTTTTCAGGTGCTAAGTTTTGATAGGTTTTCCTGGTCCACAGCATCCTCAAAGCTTTACTTGTCGCCAAGCAGTTTGCCATTAAAGATTCCAGCATGCAAGAATCACTGTTTGGTACCATTGTTTATCCTAAGCAATGCAAACTTAGCATACTAGCATGCACTATTCTTGTTGATTTTGGCATTGCTTCAGTTGTGTGAGACGTGGAATACTCGTAACTCAAGATGAGAAATCCGGAAATGTAAATTTCTAAATAGAGTTGAAAAATCTGCCCTCCCTTGTGTGTTCATGTGCAGTACACTTCAGTAGACTCTAGTTGCTATAAACATGCTGCTCAATAATATGATACCTCCTGATGTCCTCATCATAAGATCCCACTAACTAATACACATACCAATAAAGCTAGTTAAAAGCATTAAATTTGTTATAAAATTCAAGTGATTTCCAATATTATTCTTATTAATTACACTAAATTTTAACCTCATATTAATTTTTATCCTCCCAATGCCTTCGTTAAATATGGCCATATATGGGGGGAAAAAGTATTTAATACTCATTGAGACTATCAAAGGGTCTTATAAAAAGAATCAAGAATTTCTTCTAGAATGACCCTGTAATAAGGACTAGAGGGAGTAAGAATTTTAATAATTTTGATCATGGGTTTACCAAGTCTAAGCCAAAATTTGTACCTATTATGTGTGTTATGTATAGAAACTGGAGATTTTCTTATAACTGATAATTTAGAACAGCATTGTCTTCCAATGGTGTTGTAAGCCTATCCGGCCATCCCCCTTTATCTTTCTTACAAGATTATTCTTGATAATAAATGCATATGGTTTCATGATAATTTGACCAGGTTTCCTGGGGGAAAAAGGTGCTCCTTGTTGGGGGTAAAACAGACCCTGGAAGTGACAGAATTTCAGGTTGAGTCCAACGTTGGGTCACATTATTGTGTACACATACATAATGAATCTGTTTTCAAGTTTAATATTGTTCTGATTATATTTTTGCTTTTTGCAGTTTGGGCATTTGATACAGAGACAGAATGTTGGTCAGTCATGGAATCAAAGGGAAATATACCGGTAGGATTTTTTTGGTAAATAAATGTGCAAATGCCCTTATCGTAGAAGTTGTTTGGGAAATTGTTTTGTATCCTTACGAAAATCCTCATGCTGCCAAGGTTGCTATTAGATTACATAATTTAAAGCATAATATGAATATAATATTCTCTCATGATAATAATCTATGATCATGTTAATTTGACATCTGCAATAGAAAGTTGTGCTGGACTGTGA